CGGTGATCGTTCACAGTTTTGAAAAAGAGCGGAAGCCCGAGAAAGTAATGTCGATCGCAGGCACCTACAAGTGGGAAGGCGACCCCATCCTGACAGCGCGGATGCCAGTAGCAACAGTTGCCCAAGCAAGGAGAATGCTCCTGTGGCGAGTCGGGTGTTTCCCACCTAAACCCGACAAGGAGTGCAAAAAGACCGGACCCAACGGCCCCAAGGTGTATGTCAACAGAAAACATGCAGCAGAATGTGTCCGAGCCAAGGACCGACTCGAGAAATATGTTCACCCCACATCGATCCCCGAAGGCATCACCTACATCGACCTTGCAATCGACGCACTCCCCAAGTTGGCTCGAGTGCCAACAAGACCACTCACCACCGATCCTGAAAAACAGAGAAGATGGCGTGCCAAGCGCAGCCGAGTACTGAACAACAGACCAGCGATCTGGCTGGATGTCGTGGCGGTGCTGGATGACATCGCAACCAAATGTCTGTCGTGGACAGCGGCCCCTCGGGCTGACCAATCGCAGCAAACAAGTACCTGAGAAAGAAACCCTCCCAGACGCATGAGCAGACACTTGGACAGGGAAGCCGGAGCTGGAGTCCCAAACTGTCACTGAATGGATGAGTTCGGCAAAACTTGACATCGCCGTCCCTCCGCAAACAGGCCCCATGGGATAGAGAGCTGTACACCGACGACCCAAATGTCCCGGTTGGCAAAGCCAACACCCAGTGCCAGAGCCCAAAAGGGACGCTAAGGCAAAGTCTTTAATAAAGACCCACCTATTGACTATTGACTGGACCAATGCGGATCACTTGTTAAATCAAATTATTTTCTTTGCCGCTATGATGATTCTTCCGCGGATTGTACTCTTCACGATGTAACATTGTGATGCGATCATCGTTCACATCTGCGACTCGTAAGCATCATCAAGAAAGCATAGCGAAAACGATTATCGGTAACAAAAGTGTTCGCATTGCACCAATAAGAGTTCGGTTTCCATCCCAAGTCAGACGCCGAGCACCCCGGGGTGACTGAAAGCATGAGAGGGACTGAGAAAGTGCGCAAGCCATCCCAGCTCCAACGGGATGTGCCTCGAAGCTTCACCACCAAGCCATACAACTGATCACAGACCAACAGCACCGCCTCTTTCAGCGCTACACAAATGACCGTTTATGGAGATGAGTCCCATCGCCAATTCTCAAGGAGACCTCCACAACAGAGGGACCATGGACCAGCCACGGGACTGAACATCATACTGGAATGTTGTAAAACGCCGTCAATACACCTTGTATCGCCTTCCCGGATGGACAGCCCATGACTCGACTGATCATCAGATGCTTTCGCCCAGACTCCAGAACTGTAATGGCCCATGACGACCACCTGCATCCTTCGCTTCCCTATTCTCGACGGCATTCGCCAAAGCTCACCAGTAGGTGTTCACGGAAAATGACAAAGCAAAAGTGCACGATGCCCTCATCCACGGACGCAAAGCACATGCAACTGGATATTGCAACGGTGTTGGAGAACATCAAGACAGCGATGAGGGTAAAGAGGGGATGAGAGAGAACCAAAAGTGGAGTGTAAACCGAGAAGGGAAGCAAAAAATGCTCCGCACAGGGATCGAACCTGTGACCTTGGCGTTATTAGCACCACGCTCTAACCAACTGAGCTAGCGGAGCGAGAGAATGGTTTCGTCCGGGATCGAACCGGAGACCTTGAGTGTGTTAGACTCACGTGATAACCAACTACACCACGAAACCCTGTGACTTCCGATTACACCGGCTCACTCTATGAAACGGTGCACCCTGTTTCGATCATCGAATGTTTCATCAGTGGGCCCAACCTCATAATGACCCAGGATTCCATGCATCCCACGCTCCCACGCACGCTGCGGGACTGACCGCAAGGATACCAGCGATATCAGTCGCTCAAGCCCGATGAATGTTCCTCTGGAGGGTCGGAGGCTTCCCGCCCAAACCTGACGGAGCGTGCAGAAAGCCCGGACCCAACGGCCCCAAGGTGTATGTCAACAGAAAACATGCAGCAGAATGTGCCCGAGCCAAGGACCGACTCGAGAAATATGTTCACCCCACATCGATCCCCGAAGGCATCACCTACATCGACCTTGCAATCGACGCACTCCCCAAGCTGGCTCGAGTGCCCGCAAGACCAGCCACCATCGACCAGGAAAAACTGAGCAAATGGCGAGCCAAACGCGAACGAATCCTCAACAACAGACCAGCGATCTGGCTGGATGTTGTGGCGGTGTTGGATGACATCGCAACTGAATGTCTGTCGTAGACGCCAATCCCTCGGATACGCCACGCACGACAGTAGGAGCCTGAGGAAGTAATGCCACAGGCATATGTCAGCACAAGTCTGGACATGGAAGTCGGAGCTGCAGATTCCAAACTGTCACTGGATGGATGAGTTCGGCAAAACTTGACATCGCCGTCCCTCCACAAACAGGTCCCCAAGGGATAGAGAGCTGCAATGATGATTGTAAAATGTCCTGGTTGGCAAAGCCAACACCTAATGCCAGAGCCAGCCAGCAATACCAGGGGTCAGAAATGGAAGCTCTCAGAGACGAGTAAGGCTGGTGGTTTGCTTCTTGCTTTATCTGGTATTATGTGGCGACAGGGTGATCCGGATTGTTCTCGTTCTTTCCAATAGTTGCAGTTCCAAAGGGAGGATCGAGTGTGGTGGTCGAGTTGCTGTTGTCGAGTCATTCAATATTGTTCTCAGTCGATCAACATCAGTGATGGATATGGGACAGCACTGCTTTGTTTAGTCGATATAATAGATGTATTTACTGTCAAATATACTGTGGGACTCTGGTGGCTGGGACGGATGATGGCAGTGCGGTTTGCTTGGCTGTTCTGCTTCAATGTTCAGGGTCGCCACTGGACTGTTTAGGAGAGGACTTTGGGATCAGGGCCACTTGGCGAGTTCTCTAAGGCAATCGACAGACCAATCGAGATCTTGGTCTGCGGACTTGCGGTACCAGTCGACGGCGGTGTCGATGTTCTGGGGGACACCCCAACCATTTTTGTAGCATTCACCAAGAGAATATTGTCCGTATCGATTACCCTGTTCGGCCGATTTACGATACCACTCGAACGCCTTGATACCGTCCTGGGGGACTCCTGCTCCAAGCAAGTAGCAATAACCTACCATCCACTGCCCATAGGAGTTGCCTTGGCTGGCCGACTTGCTGAACCACTCGAATCCCTTCGGCTCGTCTTCTGACACTCCCCCACCGCTATAGTAGCACACTCCGAACCAAAATTGGCTTTCGCTGTGACCGTTGTTGGCGAGCTGCTCGAGGATTCCTGCTGCCTTTGTTCTGTTTTGCGTGGTTCCGAATCCATAAAACAGACACACAGCCATGAGATGTCTGCACAGCCAGTCACGATTCGATCCCAGCTTGCACAGCTCGAAGAACTCGCGATGTGCAGGTATTTCGGACTTGATGTTATTCCATTGCGATGCAAGGCCCTCGGCCTCTCCGAGCTTGAATATTTCCGATTGGTTCTCTCGGATAATCTTGACGCCCTTCTGATCGTCTCGCACTGTTCCTCGGCCGAGGTAGTGCATCCAACCAAGCATGTGGGTGGCGATGGGCTTGAGGAACGGATCGGTAGACTTGGTGCTGACTTCCTGCCAGTGGTTGAAGGCAGCGACGTCGCTCTGTTTGACTCCGTGGCCGATGAGCGAGAACCAGCCTCGAAGGAAACCGATTCGGAGACGACCAAAGTCATAGCCTTGGGCAGCCGCCTTGGAATACCACTCGATGGCTGTGTCAAAGTCTTGATCGACACTCTCTCCATATTCGTAGTATAGTCCGAGGGCGACTTGAGCCTGAGGCATTCCAAGTTCCGCAAGCTCTCGATAGAGCTCGATGGCCATAGGTTGGTCTCGCTTGACTCCAAAGGCATCACGATAGCATAACGCTAGCTGGAATTGAGCCATCGAATGCTTTGCTTTGGCCGCTGTTTCCATAAGGTGGAAGATTTGTTGCTGTTGAGCTACGCACTCGGAAGGGTCCAGCGACTGCTGACCACGGAGTTCAATACTAAGCTTCCATGCCATGAAGTACGATGCGGCTGCATTGCCCCGGATGGCTTGATCTTTGAGCCAGGATCGGTCGGCTGTGCCTTGACATTCGAAGTGCAGCGAGAGGGCAATCTGGTCGCTGGGGGTAAGCCCAAACCTAAGGGACCCATCGGGACGACACAGTCCTGCCTTCTGGCACCAGCTCTGGAAGTGAGTCAGCTTGTAGCTCAGGAGAGGGCGGACACGTCTGCACACTCGGAGGAGGGTCTTGATGGTGTTCAAATCGAGGGCAAACTGGAAGCTGTCGTTGCAACAGATGATGGTGAAGATGTCTTGGATGTGTTCGAGTGAGGAGTGGATGGTGTCGGGCATCGACGAGGTTGTTCTGGCTTCAGCTTGAATTTGGTGGGTGGCGGATGATGCCGTGGGTGAAGCAGGCTCGTCCATGCTGGCCATGTTGACGGAGACTGGATGGAGGCAAGTGGATGATGGCGATGGACAGATGAAAGTGAGGGAAGTGGCGAAGCAAGCCAAACAATGGCAAGCCATACTCTGGCCATTGACATCACACACACACATACAAGCCTGGCTCGATCCGATGGCTTGATGGCTGGACTCGCTGTTGTACAAGTACTGCCACATGCATTGAACATGGAATCGAACATGAATCGAACATGGAATCGAATATGGAATTGAACCCACATTCCCGTCATCCAAGTTCAGATACAACTGCCGTTCCATTGAGTTTTCCATCGATACCAACACTATGGATCCAACCTGCTGCACCAAGCACCGCCAGTTCGGGTCCAAGGGGTGTTTGTGAGGCTACACCATGCCCTCGCCAAGAACGTCATCCGTACTCGCATTCTTCAACAGAATGTTACGAGCCCCATTGATGTCTCGATCTATCATCAACCCACACTCCCTGCAGTGGTACACCTTGGCCGCTCCCAGGTCCCGCTTGATGTGCCCGCACCGAGTGCATGTCTTGCTCGTGTACTCCTCCCCAACAATACACACCCTGCAGTCAGCATACTCCCTGGACTTGTGGACGAGGGTGTCGACAAAGCGACAGTGGGCCAGCATGGCCATCTTCTCATTGACCACTCGTCCAGAGCAGTGTGCTGCCAGCTGGTGGAGGTTGAGCTTGGGGATGTAGATGACGTTGTACGTCGAGCAGAGCCACTTGGCTGCCTTGCGGTGGAGATCGTTGACAAGGCATCGGATGCGCTCGAGGATGCGGAGGGCTGCTCGACGCATCCTGTTCTTGGTGTCCCTGCCACCATTGGTCGAGTGAGGGTTGGAGGCACCCCAGGCGGTGACGAGGCCGGAAGGATCGTATGTGGTGATGAAGTCACGGACGCCAGGATCGATAGAGACGACTTGGCCGTGTCCTGGGCTTGGCTTTCGCCCGGACGGACAAGTGGCTCCGAGACCACGATGTAGAATTTACCGGTCTTGGTCCGCATAATGCGGGTGTCGCAGAGGAAGGGAAGCTGCAGTCGGCGATCCTCGATGGTCCCGTCGGGACGGAGGCGGGGAAGGAAGCTCCTCTCCATCCGGCTGTGCTTGGGTGGCTTCTTGACACTCTTCATGCTTCTGGACAGCATGGGGTCGCCATCATCATCCACAGGCTGTGGAAGAGGCGGACGCAGAAGCTGCACAGGAGTGTCTTGTGCGCTGGGATGGGCCAGCTTGAGAGCATCCATGTGGTATATGTGAGCTGACGACAGATCGAGACATAAACGGCCCGCACCATGCTGTTGAAGAGTGTGATCACCGAGGAGATGCACGGATTGTGGTCGAAGGTCTAGTTGTATCAGATGAGGTATGGGATGTCTTCGCAAAAGTTTCTGGATATCGTGAGGCGGGCCGGTTGGGATGCAGGCCGATGGCGGATGCTTATGCTTTTGAGTGAAAATCCAAACCCCCATCCAGCGCATGTCACAACAGGGACACATCATCCGACTCAGGGACAGATATCAAGTCAAGGGACCAAATGGTGCGATATATTGATCATATTGAGCTAATAGGAGGAAGTTGTGGGGTCGCCGCGTCTGATGGCAGCGACCTTTTCCTCACGGAGGACTCGCTCGGTCTTGATGCGTTCGCGAAGGAGCTCGTTTTGCAGCCAAAGGTTCTTGAGTCTGAGCATTATCATTCGATCTTCGATCTTGACCGTGGTGCTCGGCTGCTCTGTGGTTTCAATGACGACCTCTATAGAGACATCGGGGCTCGAAAGTCGGCGGCGAGATCGAGGAGGGAAGCTGGGCGAAGCTCTGGCACCCTCGGCAGCGGGCTCGGGACTCTGACGTGGAGGGGACTTTCTCTTCAGACGAAGGGGAGTCGAGTGTCGCGCAAAGAAGCGAGGGGTGGAGCCTACGGGCGTCTCTGCTGGTGCTTGAGACTTGCTGGCCGAAACACCATTGACGATGCAGTGCTTGGTGTACTGCAGGAAGCGAGATATGTCTTGTTCCTCGTCGGGGAGCTCGTCACGATGGAGCGTGATGACAGCACTGTTTTTTTTTTTTTTTTGTTTACAATAGTTGTATATTCAGGAATATTCAACAAGCCATCAGTACCATGCGGTACCCGGCAGTGGGCGTACAAGCAGGCTCACACGCCCCTGTTGCGGCTCTCGCCGACTCTCCAGCCCACACGGCGAGCCATGCGGGTGAACACTTCCTCCAAGAGGTCCCACAGGGACTCGCATGTCTCCAGGTCCCGCTCGGGGACCCTTTCTCTCTGGCCATGGGAGCTCCTCTCCGGGATCTCCTCAAAGCCCATCCACGGCTTTGTTCGTTGGGGTCGCTGTCGTGGCCTCGTGGCCCTGAGCGCCCCAGTCGCTCTGTCACTGCTCGGTGTGGGGAGAAGGCTGCCTCTCCTGCTGGTCGTTGGGAACGGTGTGTCTCCGAGTCCGAGGTCGTCGTCCGAGACCAGGTCCGGGCTCAGATCGGCATCGTCGATCAGATCGATGCTTGGTGTTGTGTCCGAGTGCAAGTCGACACTCTGATCGCTCTCCCAGTCCCATCCGTGGCTGGGCAGGTCGTCGTCGATGTTGGTGAGGAAGGAAAAGTCCAGATCTCTCTCCAGATTCAATTCCCAGTCTGGCACCGAGCTCATTTCGGAGCTCAGGTCTGTTGAGTCGTCGTCGGTCAGCCGGAGTCGCTCCAGTCGTGCCAGCACCTCTCGATGTGGGTACCAGAGCGACTCCCCGTCGTCATCCGAGACTGCTTCGTCAATGCTGGTCTCCCCATCCGACGTGGTGTCGGACACGATTGGTGGTGGCCTGCAATCCGCTCCACCGTCAGTGTCCTCGTGGTTCTTCTGTCTTGCTTTCTGTTGCTCAAAGGTGATCAGGTCCAGCAGCTTGTCGACTGGTCCCACTCCGATGGTCTGAGGCTCCACCCATGCTGGGTGTGATCGTTGAAGTTGGCGCACCTTCCTCGGGAGGATCCCTCTTGGGTCGATGCACCGCTGTGCGTGGGTGCGGTTGAACTCCACGGTGGCTCCGTTTGTCGAACATTGTCGGCATATTTGAAGCCGGCCTGTGTGATGGCCCGGGAAGGCTCCGAGTCTCCACCGAACCATGAGCTCGAGGATGGGTTTGGATCCTTGGTACCCTTCCGCCATCCAGAGACCTGACATCTGGGTTGACGGTGTGCATGCCGCCGTCAGCTGTTGATTCCCTCGAAACGCTGTTCTCATATGCTCAGTGAGCATGAGCTCCTTGATGGGTGTGGTGACAGCGTCCTCATTCATCGTGGTGGTATTCTGTCGGTTTGTTCGGTTGTGGGATCCTTCCTCACTACTCGTGATCCCGGAGAGCCCGTTCCCGAGCAGCCGTCTGCGTCGTTGCGAGGTGGATAGTGGGACCATGATGAGTCCCGTGACGATCTCGATCTGTTCTGGTGTTGATCGTGGGACTGGGCTGGTCGGTTTCCGTTGCGCTCCTTCCTTCCCCAGGAAGGCCTCGGTTGCGGTTAGGCTTTGGTCCGAGTCTAGTCTGCGCATTAGTTTGACCCAATACGGGTCTTCCATCACTTGGTAGCCAAGGAATTGGTTGGGGTGGTGGGGGTGTCTGATTGTGTTTCTCATGATCAGTGCTATGAGCTTGGTGTGATCGGAGGACGCGTCTTCCCATCTCGTCCAGGTTTGGAAGGTCAGGATCTTGATTCTCATGGACAGTTTTGGCAGTCCACAGCTCAGATGCATGGCTCCGGCCGATGTCCCAGGGCCGACTCTGAACATTGCCCTCAGTGCATTTGTCTGGACCTTGTCGATTCGTTCTTGCTGTGCCTCGGGTAGGAGGTCCAGTGCCAGGCCGTATTCGAGCCTTGGCCTGATGAAGGCTCGGTAAGTTCTCACGATGGTCCTTGCAGACGCTCCTCCGAGCCTGATTCCAAGCTTGACGATGCTCTTCACGGCCATGTTGGCTTTCTCGACCAGGTGGTCGACTTGTCGATCGACTCGGAACCCGTTGGCGTCGATGATCGTTCCAAGGTATTTGAACTCTTTCGCCGTCGGCAGCTCTTCTCCGTAGAGAGTGGCCTTGGTTGTCGCGGCGGGGTAGTTGGTCGAGAGGATGATCTCGCATTTGCTTGGTGCGAACTTGTACCTGTTTTCGGTGCTGTGTCGTTCGCATATATCCAGGAGCTTCTGTGTCGAAGCTGGACTTGCGACAAGTACTCCATCGTCGGCGAACCATAACGAGTTGACCTTGATTGTCGACACCGTGCTGGTTGAGAGCTCTAGGTCTTCGTCGGCGCTGGTTGTGCCCCGTCTCAGGAGCTCTGGTAAGTCATCGATGAAAGCGCTGAACAGCAAGGGACTCAGTACAGATCCCTGTATGAGCCCTTTTTGGAGCCACACAGGTTCTGACCGACGTCCCTTGCTGGCGACTCTCACCATTGTCCTATCAAACAGCGCCTTGAGGATCCCGAGTGCGGTCGAGCTTGCTCCTCTATCTTTGATTTTTTCCCACAGGCGTTCCCTCCAGACGGTGTCGTACGCCGCCTTGATGTCCAGGAACACCAAGGAGTACTCCAAGCCTTGGAGCCTCTTCATCCGAATCAGGCTGTCCAGGGAGTAGACCTGGTCGAGCGTGCCTCGTCCTGGTCGGAATCCTCCCTGGACAATGTCCATCGTCCCAATTTCCTTTGTGAGGTACGGGAGGAGGATGCGCTCCGCTATCTTGCGGAGCACTTGTGTCAATCCGATTGGCCTGTACATTGCCGGGTCAAGTATTGATCCTTTGTTTTTGTACACGGGGTGGATCAACACTTCGTTCCACGACACGGGGACAACCGAAGCTTTGACCGCCGCCTTCATGATGATCTGGAGCCACTCGGCAAGCACCGGTGCCACTGGGTGCAGCAACTCGCTTTTGATTCTGTCTGACCCACAGGCCTTCATCTTGGGGGACGCCCGGATGGCCGCGATGATGTCCTGGATGTCGAATTGTGGAAGGTACTGGTCCTCAGTGAGAGGCCGGGGGGTTCCCTCTGGCCCTGCCGGTCTGGTTGTCCGGTCGTACTGCTCTCCTGTATCTCGGCTATGGGCCGAGACCGAGCCGTAGTGGGCCACTAGTCGTTCCAGTGCCTCGTCCGAACTATCCAACTGGTACGCATCCGCGAGCTCTCTGCGTTTCTGCTCGGCGGCTAGGGCTTTTGTTGACTCTGAGCTGTTGAGTCTATGGAGCTTGCTGAGGAATTTGTCATGGAGGGACTTCCTTGCTGTTCGGAGTGCTGCCACTTCTTTTGCCCGAGCCATACTGAGCTCTCTTCTACACTCATTGGCTACTTCGTCTCCAATGTCCTTCCTCTTCAGTCGTCGGCACAGCTGGCGTCGGATGTTGGCCAATCGGCGGATCTCTGGCTTGTGTAACATGTCATGGGTGACGCGTCGAATCTCCGACTTTCCCACGGTTCGTTCCGCAATGTTGTTCACCATGGTGGTGAGTGCTTCCCAGGCTTTGTTCATGGCGAACTGTGCTCCGCGCTCCGAGATCTGATGTTGAGGCCCTCCCAGGATTGGTTTGAGGGCCGTCGTGATTGTCAAAGTTCCCTCCACTTGGCGGTCATTAAACAGCTGGACGTGTAGGAGATGGTATCTCCGACGCTGTGCTGCGCGTACTGCGCGTACTGCGCGGCGCAGTGGGTCGTGACCTGTGCTGCGCTTTGCGTTTTCACGCACCGCAGGCAGGCCACCGCAGGGTATACCTGCGGGTTGCCCCCGTTCCCCCCGTTTGTCTGGAGTTCGGTTTTATCGTGAATAAACGTAAGTGCTCCCCGAGCTCACCCGTCCGCTAGAGTAGCCTAGCACCGCCCTGTTCTGCCCCGTCCTGTCTTGTCTTGTACCCCCTCCCTCCCCGTCTTGCCCCAACGTCCCAGTAGTGGACGTTACATGGTAGCATCGGAAATCCTCGTCTTGTTTTCGTCCTGTTTGTCCTCTTTCTAGATCCTCAAGCTGGATCCCGCCTCTCTTGCCGACCGACTCTCCTCTCTGTCCCTGGAGCCTGCCCCTGCCATGAGCAACCCCCGCCCACTTCCGGAAGCCTTCCTCAAGACCTTCCGTGCCCCAGTGTTTACTGGGAAGAGCCGCTCCTCCTCGGTGGAGGACTGGCTGCAGCAACTCGAGGACTACCTCGATGCTGCCCAAGTCGCCCCCACCCACCACATCGTCGCCGCCAAGCTCTGCTTAAAGGACCAGGCGTACCGTTGGTACCGCCGCCAAGGGTTCGACGAGCAGAGCGAAGGTGTGTTTGACGACTTCAAGGACCGCCTCCGTCGCCGCTTCGGCAGCCCCAATGCTGAACTCATTGCCCGTGACAAGCTATACTCTCTCGTGCAGCGTGGTTCTGTGACCCGCTACATCGAGGAGTTTGAAGACCTCTCCTCCCAGATTGAGGAGCTGGGCTCTGCTGATGCGATGTACCTCTTCCAGAAGGGCCTCAAGCCCAAGATCAGAGAGTACATCG